CCTCTTCTTGGAAGGGCAGTTGCCTACTCTTTCTCTGTCCACTGTCAGCCCTTCGGGGCCACCTCCAATCCTCCCCTCCACCCAGCACCTCTGAATAATTCAGCTCCATAAGAAGGCCCGGGGTTAAGTACACAAAGCCACCATCTTCCTTAAAAGTCAGGAAAGTGGGGAAAGTTGTGAATATATATAATTCATATTGTTTTCAAATTTATTACTGACCAAAAATATATTTTAAGAATATCATCAAAGTGAAAACATAAAATTTATAAATCTTCTGTTAAGTCTCAAACTCTAAAGGCCCAAGTACACCAACTACTTGAAAAAGATTGCTCAAGAGAAGTGATTAAAAAAACAAGCAAACCTTGGCCACCTCTACCCAGCCGCTGGCCCAGTAGGAGTACCAAAACCAAACACCATGAGGATCAAGAATCTGCCTACACCTGTCTTCTGTCTAAAACTTGGCGATGGCTGCTCATGGTTGCCCAGCTTCTCAGATAACCTGCCTCCACCTCCCACTTTAGTGCTTTTGTGGGCATGTCCCCAGGGGAGGTACTCTGACTGGCCACCAGTAGGCAGATAAATTATATTGACCTTTTCCTCACCTCTTAGTGACTCTGGTATAACCTAATTGCTAATGACATTGCACTTAAAAATTCCTTTAGTAATTGCTTCTGACCAAAGACCATTCCCACAACACTGTCAAGACATGGCAAGGCCTGGAATCATGACATTTCCAGGCTTTCCATCTCCCATAGGATGAAATGGCCATTTAAAGACTGAAATAAGACTGAAACTCAAAGACTGACTTCTTGATTTCCTCCCAGCTATGCCACTGTACAAGATGCTGTCTCTCAGCTGAACCAGTGCCTTGAGGGACCATCCTGTTCGGTGTCTGTAACTCCACCAAAATCCTCCCGGTCCTGTCACCTGGGTTGGTGGGCCTCTACACCATGAGGTCTCCACCCCTGTGTAGGGCTGTCAGGTCAGGAGACATGCAGCACAATCACCTCTCTGGCACAGCCTTGGAACTCATGTGTGGGCTTCCACCAGCTTATGGGCAACACCCCTAACCCCGACATCAATGCCTACCCAACAGAAATCACAGGATTCCACAGGACCCAGGATTCTTCTCCAGGAGGCATTTTCCTTGCAAATAGATGTCTATGGGGCCACAGGATTGGAAAGTTGGGACCCAGGTTTCTTTGCAGAAGGATGTTAGACTGGGGAGGTAGGCAGGGGTAGATAACGTAGAGAGTGTTCTATTCTTCACAAAACTGTCACAACCAACAGCATCTCCTCATTGAGTGTCCTGAATCTGCCCACCGGAGCACGTCCTCACTGTGGGCAAGATCCTTGCCAGTCCTCACCTGCTGAACCACCTTTTCCAAGGTGCTCTAGCCATCTGCCAGCAACCCAGGGGAGCCACCATACCCCCCTGTGGCTGGAATAGCAGGAAGGCATGTGAAAAGGGGCCCCCCTCCCTAAAACTGGGTCCTGGCCTGACTCAGTGGGAAGTCTACCAAGATGGTAGACAGACATGGCTGCCCATGGGGCACCTCTCATCTTCCCAGGCCCTGGGAGGCCCTGCTCTCCTTGGAGCCCTGAGCCTGGTATGCCATTTCTGGTAGCATGTTACATCAAGGAGTCATTCACCTGAGGTAACGTGCAGGAATAAGGGCTACAGATGGAGTTTATAGACAGAATTTACTAAAACAAACCCAGAAGTCGCATCTGTGCTCTGCAGTTCCACCCCATTCTGTTGGTCATTCATAGGTACAGAGGGCATCAACTGGGGTTTCTACAATCCTGGCTAAATAAGAAAATGACAGCTCACTTTTTGGTATCAAAACCCTCCCCAAATGCAAATGAAACTACCCTGAGACACCCTTTTTCACCCAGCAAAAATCCAAGAGTTTCACAACATAACCTGTTAGTGAGGAAACAGACACTGTCATGTGTTGATGCTGGGAAGGCAAAATGGTACAATCCTAGGGAGGGAGATTTGGCAATACCCAGCAAAAGGACATTAAGTATTTGCCCTTTGACACAGCAATCCTACCTCTAGGAATTTATTCCAAAGATTCACTCACAAAAATGTAAAAATACTTAACCAGCTCATTGCAACACTGTTGGTTACAGCAAAAGACTGGAAACAACCCCTGTGTCCATCAGCAGGGGACGGGTTCAGTGAACTGTGGTGCGTCCACACAATGGAGCACTGTGCCGCTGAAAAGGGAAGGAGGGAGCTCTCCCTGTGTTCCTGTGAGTGATCTCTAGGATGTTTCATTAAGTTTAAAAAGTATATCGTATGCTACCATTTATCTAAGAAAGGGAAGGTATGACTATATAATATATTTATATTTTTTAATGAAAAGATAAACAGTAAAATAAAAGCTATCAACCAATGGCAACGTATGAAACGTGTTTGCCTCCTAATTCAAACAAACAAACCGAAAAGTACATTGCAAGATCAACGAGCACTTTCTGGGTTTTTGATGATATTAAGGAATTAATATTATTGTTTTTTAGTTGTGATAATGGTGTTGTGCTATGTTTGTTTGTTTTTTAATGAGTCTTAGTCTTTTAGAGATACTTCTTTAAATGTTTCCAAATAAAATGATATAATATCTGGTATTTGCCTCAAAATAATCTTGGAAATGGGGGTGGCGGCGGCTAGAGGTGAAACAAGATTGGCCCTGGGTGAGTAATTGTCAAAGCTGCTGAGGAATCCACGGGAGTTCAACATACAGTTCTCTCTACAGTCATAGAGGGGGAAAATTTCCCATGACAAAAGAGTTAAGAAAGCAAAAAAGAGTGAGAGAGAGGAAAGAAAGAAAAAGACAGAGAGAGAGAAAGGAAGACGCAGTGTATGTCACAATCCATAGAAACCATTGTCATGTGTCCGTGAAAGGCAGCTGACCCACTCTGCAGAACCTATTCTAGACAGAAATAAATCCCCAGGCTACACCCCTAAAGTGGGTTTGAGATTCCGGGGCTTGTAGACTTGGTGTGTCATTCTCACATTTGCATATTCATGACTCCATCAAAGAAGGGCATCCTCAGTGGACCTTGGTGCCCCTCAGCCCCCGTGGCCTCTTGACAAGCCTTCTCGCTCCCGAGCCCTGTGGACACAGGAAAGCAGCTTTGTTGGGCCACTCTCATCCTTTCGAACATTAAGCTCACAGATGGCATGGTGACAGCTCAGGGATTGGAACAGGGTTGTTTTCCATAATATAACTCCACAGACATATTTGAACACAGGAAAAGAGAAGATTTTACAAGGATCCAAAATAAAATGAGCCCTTGAGAAGAGAAGCAGGGATGTAGTGTCAGATGGGAAAGTTTTTCTTTTTCTTTTTCTTTCTTTTCTTTTTTTTTTTTTTTTTTTGGTGAGGAAGATTAGCCCTGAGCCAACATCCACACCCATCTTCCCCGACTTTTGCACATGGGATGCCACCACAGCATGGCCTGAGGAGCGGTGCACAGGTCCGCACCTGGGATCCAAACCCGCGAACGAACCCCGGGCCACCGAAGCAGAGCGCGTGAACTCAACCACTATGCCACCAGGCCGGCCCCGAGGAAGGTTTTCTTTATAAGCACAAGGCAGGAGTATGAGGCCACCCGTCCCCTGCTAGGAGACTCAGGGTGTAGGAGACCTGGCACAGAGGGCAGGGATGAGGCTGGAAGGCACACTCCTGCCCCAGCATCTTGTGAGGAGCATCTTTTGGGAAGGGACAGAGCATCTCAGAGTCTGTGCCAGGGCTCTCTGCTCCAACCCCATTGCCCTCAGGAAGCGCTGCTGCCCAGCAACTGGGGTCACTGGGCAAGCTGCTCGACCTCCCAGTGATACGGGGATAGGACTGCCCACCTCATAAGGTGATTGTAAGGATCATGGGCAGTGGAGGAATCATTTCATGGAGATGGTTCCCTGAGCTCTAATTTATCCCCATGGAGCACACTGAGCAGCTAAAGAATGAAAGGGCATTTCCTCCAGAGCTCTCCTCTCCCCCAGGAGCCCACCCTGGGGGCCCTTGGCTCTCTCCTGTCCTCCCTCCCCCTGCCCCAGGATTGCTCATTGTGCCTGTCAGTCCTGCTGTGTACACACAGCCTCAGGGTGGCTCCCCAGTGGCCTGCTCCCCTTCTTCATGGTCTTGGTGGCTCTTTGGGCTTGGTCGTGGATCTCCAATCTCTGCTGCTCTTCTTTGAGGCGGTTAGGCTGTCCTAGAGTGTTTACCTCCGGTCTCTCTCTTAATCATTAACAGGTCTGCCCTTCCTCGGCCCTCCTTTGCTCACCTACCTCCCTCCTCTGGCCTGTTCTCCCCTCCTCCTCACCTCTCTGATCCTGGCTGTCCTCAAGATCCAGCTAGAGCCTCACCTCCTCCAGGGAGCCCTCAGTGATTGCCAACCCCACCAGATCCCCTCTCCCTTCTATACACACTGTCCTCAGTTCTCTCTGCTTTACACATCCTAGCTGATACCACTCCAGACAGAAAGGAGCTCCAAAAACCACTGATTCATGGACAAAATCAAGCCTGACGGAGTGGGCTGAGGAAGGATAACCGTGATGACACCTAATGCTCCACGACACATCCACAGAGCACTTTTCACTTTACCTCATTGGGTTGATCCTAATGCCCCAGGAGGGGGAGCAGGCACAGCCTTCTCTCCCTTGTCTTTTCCCTCACTGGGCTCACACATCTGGAGCAGAACTCTGTGCCACGCCCTTTGTATCCCTGATCTCTTTTGCTTCTCACCCCTTGAGAGGTAAGTAGTCAGAGTGTCTCATTTTACCGATGTGGGAACTGCGGCACAGAAGGGATACAAATGACCCCAGATCACTAGCTAGACGGTGACACAGCCGGCTCCAAACCCAGCATTCTGCCTCTAGAGCCTGCCCTCACAGCCCCTGGAGGACCCAGAAGGGGGAAGTATGCTGACCCATTGGGGGGACTAGACAAAGGCCAACAGGAACCGGGCAAAACCAGGCTGAATTCAGTGCCATGTGCCCAGCCAGTGAGGTCAGGTGAGCAGGAGACGTCCAAAGGGCAAGAGGAGGGAGAAGTGGCCAGCTCTTTGTTCTTTGGGATGGATGCGGAGGACTGGAGAGGGAGGAAGGGGCAGGCCTCTGCCTAGAGCATGAAGGGACCACCCTGGGCATGGCAGAGGGCCAGAACTGACTGGGTCCTGTGTGTGCCAGGCACTGTGCTGGGCATTTGGGACAAACCATCTCAGGAGACTCAGCACAAAGGGAGAAGGTTGGGGAGGGTGAGAAATCCAGTTGGCTGTGCTGGATGGCGCAGGGGAGTGGGGAGAAGAGTTTAGACAAGTTGGGGGTGACCAAGGAATGGCTGGTTCACTGTTTAAGCCTTTGGCCAAGCCTCCCTTCTGGTGAGTCAGGCTGACAAGGAAGCCCAGGGCCATGGCTGGCCCTGATTAGATGTCTTAGAGAACCCAAGCCAGGCCAGGACCCACCCATCCACCTCACTGAGCCCCGGGGGTTTCATCGTGCACCTTCAGGGTGGACAGGGCCGGGATAGACTGTCCTTTCACCTGGCTGTCCCACTGAGATGAGCCCTGGGCTGGCTAGGGAGGGACGCAGAGCCAGGGCCTGTGCGAACAACTGATGGCCTGAGCATCCCAGAGCAAGTGGGAATAGTTGAGAAATGGGCCTGATGAGGGGTACAGCTGTCCCAACCAAGGGTGATTCTGCCCGTCACCACCCCCAGGGGCATTTGGCAATGTCTGGAGACATTTTCGTGGAAGGTGCCACTGGGATGTAGTGGGTAGGAGCCAGGGATGCTGCTGCTAAACCTCCTACAATACACAGGACAGGCCCCCAAGACAAAGAATTATCTGGCCCAAAATGTCAACAGTGCCGAGGCTGAGAACCCCTGCTGTAGCACAAGGGGGTTAAAAGGGCTGAGATCCAAGCCACTCCCTGGGACGAAGTGCCTCTGCCCTGAGGAAGAGGCCTGGTTCCTAACTCAGCCAGCTGCTGTGTGAGGATTGGGGGGGAGGGGGGAGTAGTGCTGGGGGGAAGAGAACCCTGTCACCCAGGCTGTGATTCGTGCAAAAAGCAATTTGAAAGAGGTGTTTAGTCTTTAATAAAGGGTCAAAAAGTCAACCCACATGATTATGTCATCTCCTTGCTGGCAGACAGCAGACAGTTTTAAAGCACTATGACAGACGCACCGGGTGGGAAATGAGACGTGATGGAAGACCTCCACTGAGCACTGTTTCTAATAGGAAGGGGTCGGAAACGACATAAACGTCCCCATCCGTGGGAACAAGCTGAATAAACAATGGAATATCCTGCAGAAGAATGAGAGTTCTTTCTATGCACAGATATGCATAGGTCTCCAGATGATATTAAGTGAAAAAAGCGAAGTGCAGAACACTGTGGGGTACCGTGCTGCGTTAGGTGAGACGGCGGAAAAAGCAGCAGTATATTGATAATTGCTTACATTTGCATAAAGCGGTGGATCTCAAACTCGAGTGAGCATCAGAACCGCCCAGAGGGCCTTTTAGCCATACTTGCTTTAACAGCAGCAACCCTGCTTCTCTCTGGGGGAGGGATGTGGAGAGCGCCCCACTTTCCTCCCCAGAGTTGAACTGCTTTCCCGCCCTGGCCGCCCAGCGCGCGGGGCTTTAGACAAAGGCCTGTAAATGGCCTCTCTCTCTAATCACTCCAGCAAACACCAGGAGACTCTTTCCCAACCCTCAAGTGGCCGCTGAATGTGAGAAGTTCATGGCGTTTGAAGGAATCCCGTAGGAACCGAAGAGTTGGGGCCAATAAAGCAACCCCCCATCTCCACTTCTTTCACGAGGAGGCGAACTGAAGATCTGAAGGGAGGTGGCCTCGGCCAGGGGCAAACCTGGCCCTGCAAGGTCCCCGCCTCCGCCCCCACCGACGGGGGAGGAGCGAGGGCTCCGGTGGATCCTCCCGCGGGCTGTGTGCGCGCTCGGAATCCAGCTGTCGCCGCCCCGCGGAGCCCCCTGGCCCCGGAGAGCGCGCATTTCCGGGCCGCCCACCAACGCGCTCGCCTCGGTACCGCTGCAGGGCCGACAGCTGCTCCCGCCCGCTCCGTGGCCGTCCGGCCCCAGTCGCCCCCCGAAATGCCGGTCGACTTCACCGGGTACTGGAAGATGCTGGCCAACGAGAATTTCGAGGAGTACCTGCGCGCGCTCGGTAAGCCGCTGCCCGCCGCCCTCGCCCGGCGCTAGCCGCTGGGGGCGCGGGGAGTGGGGGGCGCTCCGCAGAGCCCCCCGACCCCGCTGCCGCCTGCCTCCGCCTGGGCGAGCGCCGCCCCGTGCACCCGGGCGGCAGGAAGGGCGGCCGCCGCCAGGGCTCCGAGGGTGGCCAGCAGGCTGCGAATTGGAGATGGGGTTGTTAGGGTTAATTGGTGGCAAATGTCTGATAGTTGGCTCTAGACGTGGATAATTTCATTAGGAAAGCGGGGCTTGGTTTGCTAGCTTTTGTTTTTAAAGGGTTAGCATAAAGGCAAAAAAACTTTGTTGCAAAAAAAGAAAGAAAAGAAAAAAGCACAGACCGGCTGCGCGCAGAGACTGCGCTAAGTGAGCAGGGAACCCCCACTGTTTTCCCGGGGCGGGGTGGGGGGACCTGGGGCCCTGCCACCTTGGGAACAGCTCTCTGAGTTTTTCGGCCAACTCTCTGTCCCTGCACTTCTACAGATGTCAATGTGGCCTTGCGCAAAATCGCCAACTTGCTGAAGCCAGACAAAGAGATCGTGCAGGACGGCGACCATATGATCATCCGCACGCTGAGCACTTTTAGGAACTACATCATGGACTTCCAGGTTGGGAAGGAGTTTGAGGAGGATCTGACAGGCATAGATGACCGCAAGTGCATGGTGAGGTTTTATGTGTACACCCGGGCATCTCCTGCCCAGGGACCCTGACCGAAGGCTGGGCTAGTTCGTTTGAGAGGGGGGCAAAGGCCCTTGTGTTCTTAGGCACTGGGGATCCTAGCACTCCCGGCCCCCGAGTAGGCAGCTCCGACTCATCACTCATCCCCTCCATCCAAACAGATGGTGAGAGTTGTGAAAGCTGCGGTGAGTTGAGTCTCGGCTGTGTCTGGGCGCGGAGCCAGGTGCTTCAGACACGTGACTTCACCTAATGCCCGCAGCTGCCTTTGAGGGAGGTATGAGTTCACCCATTTCACAGATGAGGAAACAGCCTCAAAGAGATGAACCAACATGCCCGGAGTAGCACAGCTAGGGAGGGGCCGGGCTGGAATTCCGGGCGAGTCTGTTGACTGTTCTCCGCTGGCTGCATGGGGAGCTGGTGGAGGAAGGAGGGAAGGAAGAGAGGAAAGAAAGAAGAAACCAGGGAACCCTTCTTAAGTGTAAACTTCTACCTGACCTAGCACGAAGCCGCTCTAGGAAGCAGAGGGCACGTGATCCCTGCCGGAAGCCGACTGGCCTGCCCCTCCTCCTCCCAAAACTGGGCTTTGGCTCCCGGACTTCCCCTACCCCTTCACCCTCCATTGCCCACCGAGCTTCCTTTGAACCTTGCCGCCAACACCTACTCTGGACAGTCAGTGCCTGCAGCCCAGGCCAGCCTCAAGGGAGAGGCGAGGGGAGGGAGCCTCCTGCCCCCAAGGGTGGGAAGCTGGTGACTGGGAGACCCCAATTAGCGCTGCCACAGCAGACTCCGGAAGGTCAGCCCCAGCCCTCCATCGGCGTTCTCAGGTCGCTGGGAGGTCAGGGTGCTCTGGTCTTCCTTTCCCAGTCTTGAATCCAGAGCTGGTTTAGGCTCACCGCCAGGGAGCGGCCTTGCTTAGGGAAGACGCCCTCCCCCTCGTCCTCCTCTCCCTCTTACCCTCCCCTCCCAGGTCCCCTTTCCCCCTCCCCTTCTCCTCCCACCTTTACCAAAGGCCTGCTGTCTGCCCTGCACTGCGCCAGTTATACACCCCAGCCCAGGGAGGGAGGGATTAGTAACCCTGTATTAGGCAATAACTGAGGCTCCAGGGGGCAAAGAGACTTGCAAGAGATGGGATTTGAACCCTAGGCCTTCGGACTTTGAACCCCTCTGCTGGTAGCCTTTGCAGAAACCAGATGGCTCAGATTTGTTAGGACTGTGGTTGAAGGCGTGGTGGTGTCTGGGAGTAAGGAGCCCAGGCCTGGACAACACACACACACACACACACACACACGCACGCACACACCCGGTTGTTGATTCCTCTGAAGGTGGTCCCGAGTTAGTGTTTGGAATGGTAGTGGGACGGGGGTAGCTAGCAGGCACCATCCTTGGAGAGGCCACTAGTGGGAGAAAACACTGTTGTTGTAGGGAAATGTCAGGTTGTGCCTTTAAAAGGCCCAGGGCCTCTTAATTTGCCCAGAGGCTCGTGGTGGGACATGAGACCTTCAGACAGGGTCTGCCTCGGTGAGCAGGGGCCCTGCCTTTCTGACCACTGCCCGAGACCTGCTCCCCAGCCCACGGCGTGGACCTGCACCGTGATCCCTGTCCCCAGCTCCCTCGTGGGGCACTCACAGAGCACATCATACATCTTTATTTTGGGTCACCGCAGCCTCTGGAGTATACTGGCTGGTACTTGGCTGATTATCTTCGCCCTTTCATTCCCTCCCTCATCCGTTAACCCGTGGAACATTTATTGCTCACCTAGTAATACTGGCTAATTCTCATCAGGTGCTCACTGTACACCAGTTACTGTTCACATTGTATTTTTTTTTTTTATAATTTTATTTATCTATTTTTTTTCCCCCAAAGCCCCAGTAGATAGTTGTATGTCATAGTTGTACATCCTTCTAGTTGCTGTACGTGGGACACGGCCTCAGCATGGCCGGAGAAGCGGTGCGTCGGTGCGCGCCCGGGATCCGAACCCCGGCCGCCAGCAGCGGAGCACGCGCACTTAACTGCTAAGCCACGGGGCTGGCCCTCACATTGTATTTTAACTCAGTCTTCACAACACGGTTTCAACCCCACTTTACAGAGAAGAAAACCGAGGCAGGATCTCTTGTTGTGGGACCTTGGGGAAGTTAAGTAAGGGGCAGAGGGAGGATTTGAACTTGGTCCATCGGCTCCAGAGTCCAGGCCGTTACATTAACCACTGCACCACACCTACTGCTTTCCTCACACGCTGGTCACTGCATCAGGCGCAGGGACACAGCAGAGCAGGTCCCATCCCTGATGCCTGGGAACTCACAGTCTTTGTGGGGGACACAGACACACACAGTCAGGACACAGTGAGATCAGTGGTGACAAAGGGCAGCACCCAGAGAAGGGGACCCCAGAACAAGTCCTGGGGAGATGACTTCTGCACTTAATTGTGAAGAAAAGGGAGTGGCAGGGAGGATTTGGGACACGAAGCAGCATGTGGCCACCATCTTTCTCAACCCAGCATTAGGACAGGGTAGGTGAGCAGGTCAGGGAGCCCAGTGGCTGGGCAGACTGCGTGAAACTGGGCAGGATTCATGGTCACCTCTGCTGTCCCAGGGCTCAGGGCGGCCCCCTCCCAAGCAGACAGCCACTCACCTTGCTGTTGCCCGTTGGGGGAGGGCGTTCCCTTGCAGAGAAGCCTTTCCCTCGGGGCTGTCCAGCTGGATGGTGGGCCACCCCGAAGAGCAGGGCTGAGGAGGGTGTCGGATCATAGAATGAGAGCCACTGTCCAGCCTAAGACTTGTGAATAGAGGGGAGCTGCAGGCCAAGAGGTCTCCAGGGCTCCCAGGGCTCCTGGGCAAGCTGGTTGCCAGGTCACCACTGCTCCTCCTGCTCCCTGAGCTCTGCACACAGCAGCCAGGAGCAGGGGCTGGGAGGCCAGCTTGTCCTCACCATCAGGTTGGCTTCATTCCAAGACATTACGAGGGCCTCATTTCTCACCTGGGATCATTCATTCATCTGTTTTGTTCATTCCTTTCTTGGTCCTATAAGCATTTCCAGGTGCTTACTCTGTCTTGGCAGCCCCCATGTTACTGAGATGAATCGCGCAGGGTTCCTGCCCTCCTGGAGTTCAGTGTAGTGGGAGAGGCAGACCAAAGTGGCCAATAATTCTGTGATAGTGTGCTATCACGCTAGAGGGACGAAGGACAGGCAGAGAATAACCCCCTCCCAGGTCAAGGAAAGTTCTCACAGGAAGTGGAGGCTGAGCTGTGGCTTGAAGGATAGACAGGAAGTAGCCAGATAAACAGAAAGGGGATGAGAGGAAGGCCAAGGCCAAGAGAACAGCGCTTGGTAGATGCTGCCAGACCTGCCCCACACCAGGCCCTGGGCCCAGCCCTGCGGACACAGAGGCAGTGGGGCCTCCTGGAGCACCCAGGCCAGTGGAGGAGGCAGATATCTTCAGGCCGTTACAGCCCAGTGTAGTGATGGAAACTCAGCAGGCTGAGCACAGGGCTGGGGGGTGGGGGAGCAGTGGTCATGGAAGGTTCCCCAGAGGAGGTGACAGCCGAGCAGGGCCTTGAAGGACAAGTAAGAATTAGGGCAGATGTGGAGAAGGGATAAGAGCATTCCAGGCTGAGGGAACCAAGTGCACAAAGGCCCGGGGTTCAGAAGAGTCCTGGTTGGGAGGTGGTTTCGGGAGGTGAGAGGTGCAGTCTGTGAAGACTTCAGGGTGGCTGGAGGCAGACTGTGGCCAGGGAAGTGGAGAGTGATGAGGACTCGGTAGGGAGCTCGATGTGGCCCTGACAGGCCGCAGGGAGCCTGCACCGGGAGAGGCGTGGTCAGGCTGACACCCCTCCCCAGGGGGCCCACAGGCTGGCTGGCTCAGAGATCTCTGCTCCGGCCTCTTCTCCATGGGAACACAGACATGGTTCCCAGCCGAGGGTGAAATTGGCCTACAGATGTGTTTTGTTTGGCCTGCAAAATGTTTGAAAAATTTCAGAGCCAGTTGCCAGTGATAGCCAAAGATTGTAAGATTTCATAGAAAAACTCATATTTCTGGCTGTTCTTACCAAAAAGAATCAAGGTTGCTGAAAACTCTTGGGTGCCTGTTTTTTCCTGTGCCGTGCAGATCCCTGGGACACTGTCGCAGCTGCTCCCTTTAGACGGGACGTTCTCCAGGTTACCATCACCCTCCTCCCCCTCCTCTAGAGTTGGGGAGCAGTTGGTGGTTTGCGCTGTGGCTTCCTCAGAGCCGTGCTTCCCAGAGCAGCAGCAGCAGCACCGAGAACTTGTTAGAAACACAGATTCTCCAGCCACACCCCTGGCCTCAATCAGAAACTCTGGGAGCGGGGCCAGCGATCTGGGTTTCAGTAAGCCCGCCAGGTGGTTCTGATGCAACTGAAGCTTGAGAACCACTGCTCTGGAGTAAAGAAACATCTCTGTGCCTGTGTCTTTACAAAAAGTAGAAACTATAAAATCAGATATAGAGGGCCTCATGCCACTGGAGAGTTTAGTCCATCATCTGACCCCTATGGACTTGCAATCGGTGCCCAGAACCACCTGAAATGGCCCTGTAGTCTCTCCCCAGGCTGAGGGATTCAGACCTGTATAGCCCGGGATCACTCAGCTCACATTTCCAGTCTGTTCTGTTCAGATTTGACCTGACCCACGAGCAGCAGGGGCTATCATTTTGGTGGAAATGTATAAAATCTGGGCTCAGCTTTTCTCTACTGCCTTCGTCCATTAAGATGAAATCTCAGGCCCGGTTTGAAACCAATATCATGGATTGACTCTAGCAGAGGTAGGCCCTGGCAGGACAGGGGGCCTTGAAAAAGGAAGGTGCTCCTCAATCTCAAATAGTGTCCCCACTCCTGGCCCAAGAATCCCCCTGGAATGAGGAATGATGGGGTTCTTTGTTCCCACCCCCCACCCCCCATGAACAGCTTTTGTGGGAGAAGACCGAGCCTCAGACAGGAATCACAGCTGGGAGGGAGCCTGGCTCTGTGTGGTA